AGCATTGATCAACTTACATCATCTCTGACGTAGACAGGACATCCCAATGCCGAAAAGAAGATCTGTGCAGTGCACATTAGTTCACTCTGTTCCACTTTATGGCTGAGTGACATTAACATTCAATGTGGAAGGTATGGAAACGCTAGTTAACTTCGAACACAGATGTTTGTGTTCTATCTCTCATGTTTAGTAGTATAATGCAATGAGTATTACTGAGGTTTGGTTTGGAGTGTTATGTTAGGAGGATAAGTCACTCAAAGAGGTGTTGATTGCCGATCGACTGAAATGGCTGGGACACATCTTACACATACTGACCGGGCACAATCCTCGACGGGCAAAATTAGCTAAAATGGGATTATGCTGGAAAAGATTTAGAGGTGACAGTGGTTCATGAAGTCTTTGACAGTCAGTTTAACCCACGAAGAATGGTAAAGTTCGCCTGGTTAAGGTCCTCGGGCTGCTAAGAATCAATGGCTGGGGACTAGACTGTCATGTACTTGCTTGCCGCTGTAGTTTCTCCCTAACATTTCTGCTCATTATTGTATTTTGTATACCTTAGTTTGCTAAATGGAGTGTGGAAACTTAGACTGCTGCACTTCTGCTAATGGAAAAAATAACTTTTTAAAAGTGATTTTTCAAGTGAACCATCAAAAGCATGTGACAACTTGTTCTCCGGGAATATGGTGCTCAATAATTTTAGAAAAAATCAGAAACCTATTACGTAACTTCACGACAAATTTTCGAAAAAAATAAAGATTATGAGACTAAAATCTCTAGACAGGTAAAGTGAGAACTGAGAAGAACATTGTATTTTTTTGGTAGCAACTGGAGAACAGTTCAGCGTGTATTGAAGAGTTGAGAAACTTGTTTTGCACCAAGTCAAAATAATGACGTCAAAAACACTATAAGCCAGCTTTTAATAAAAGGCTGAATTCACAGAATTATAACAAGTTGCTTAGAAATTTATTGTCACTAAAATTGTGATGGTCAAACGTGCGTGAATCAGGGATAAATAGTCATAAAGTTTCAAGATTAATCACCGGGTTACTTCAGTTAGACATCCACTGCAAAGCACGGAGTATGGACAGCTGTTCCATCCTAGTTTCGAACTCTTTAGCGATACGCACCTATGACCCCACTAGAGATCGGACCCATAACCTTCAGGTCTCAATGTGAGTTCGATGGCCTCTCGACCACTAGGATGGAATCTAATGGCCCGTCAGTTGTAATTTCTATCGGTTCACGGCCATCAGCCAGTGTCTTCAGCTTGTGCGTGTCCTCATAACAGACTTGGTGAAACCTGCTGGTTCCTACTTCTCATTAGAACTTCAGGCAATTTTATTCTGTAGTCGGTTACTGGTGAACACTAGACTAATTCTCAAGTATTGACTGGCAGTTACTCTATATCGCTAATTCACAGAAGCCAGAATCGACAGATCAGTGGATTCCGTTCCAGTGGTTTAATGGTCAACGGGCACGCTTGGTAACCTGAATGTTCTTGGTTCAATCTTTGGTAGGATCACGGGTGAGTATCACTGAAGAGTATCAATAAAACAATACTAATACTCCCTGGTTTTCAACAGTTCCCTAACTAAGGTAATTCTGTGATGTATCTTAGAATCAATGAGATCCCTGTAAAATATCACAAGATGTTTGCCCTTAATTTATTGAAATACGGCAAAAGTAACAAATTTAACAACGTTGAGAATTGAATATAGGCACGAAATCGACAGCATAAAAACGTAAAAGTAGAATAATTTACTTGAAAATGGGCCGAAAAGTAGTCCGGTCAAAAGCATAGATAAAGCAGTAAGAAAGTGTAATTAATGTGAATCCTGTAGTGCATTTTACACAAAACATTTCTAGCAATTTTAGCATACACAAACTTTGCCTGGTTTTTCAGTTCTAGCAGGTCCTGAGCCCTGTAGAAGGAGGAAGACAGGGCATGGAACTAAACAGGACAACAAGAATTTAAAAAACAAACTTATTCTTCTCTGGTTACAGAAAAACAGACTGGCACTTGTTGCTGAAAGCTATAGGGAAGCCAGTTAATCAACGTCTTATTCTGATGACCTTGGAAAGGCTCCCCAAACTGCTAAAGAAATGGGAGTATATGGCGCCGATGTGCTAGGAATCTGCGATGACAGGTGGAATGGATATATACTGTCCAAATTGTAAACTGAGGAGTCACCAATCTCCTCCAGTCAGCTAGATGACAAGCACGAGTACAGTGAAGGAGTGGCTATCATGATTTCACCAACAGCAGCCAAAACTCTTGTACACTGGGTACCAGTCTCTTCCAGGATTGTGACACCAAGAGAGATATGCTGTTGGAACCCTTTGTTCCACTCGGAAGCCGAGGAAATAATAGTATAATAAACATACATGCGCTTATCCTAGGGATTTTTACGAAAAATAATAAAGTATTAAATAACGAGTGAAGAAACATAAGTTGAATGATCGGAACAACAATGGAGACCGATAAACTAAAGAAGGAGGATCATAACACCAGAACGAAATTTACTAAGAAGGTAAACTGATTTTGAATACATAAAGAAGTTTTAAACTGCCAAATTTCTAGGGCTTCCACAAACTTTAAAATATACCCGAAACGACAAATAAGGACCATATTCAAGTGCTGGTCTGCAGGAATTTGATTTAATTATTTACAGGATTTCATCATGAGCTGACATCGGCTAGAGAACCATTGGAAAACCTTGAAGTACTGGATAGCTGTTTCCTCCTAGTTTGGCACTCTTCACAGTACGTACCCATCAGGGTTCAAATCCACAAACTCCCAGTTACAAGGAGAACTCGCAGACCATTAATTCACTGAAACCCTATCCAATGACCCATGTGCGTCCGTGGCACAGTGGTTAGGACTCTCGCCGACCATGCGCATGGTCTGGGGTTTGATCCCCTGCCTACGCACACCCGATATCTATGATCGGCCTGCAAAATTTGGGCTACCGATATCCATGCTGAAAATTCCAAACTTGTACTGAAAATACGGTGTGGCATCAAGCTGTCATCAAAAAAAATTCCACCAATTCTTGACATATTTAAGGCAACCGTCAGCCAATATCACAGGCGATTAAATGTCCTCTGGCCTGACCTGTCTGAGCCAATGGTCGTGACATCTCACTAGAATCGAGGCGAATAGCTACCTGAATAGGACCAGTCGCTAGTGAACATCAGATTGAAATTCAGTTGTTGATTTGTAGGATTTCAATTTGATAAGTTTCGGGATGAAACATCAAGGTACACCATGTGTTTGTCATAAATCAGAAGTACCGTACTTTTCCATATTAGCCATGTATCAATCACCTTATCGTGAGACTGTCATTTGGCTGATACAGGTATTTCAAACCTTGAATGGTCATCTAGTGAAGCATGCAGTAAAAGATACCTTTCAGTTTTATATATATACATATGAGATAAAAGAACTGGACACAACTGACAAACATATGGCCTACCTTGATGTCTTATCCTTATTCACTAATGTATCTTTAGTGGGTGGGAACCATTGACTGTGTCTGCGAAGTGATTACAGAAAAGACGTTTTGCAACAATATTCCTGTTAGTAATCTCAAGCAAATACTGTTGTTAAACGCACAGTGAATGTCCAGTTCCTGTTTAATAATGAAAAATTGAAACGGGCTAATTGAGAAGCTATGAGATCTCTACTAGGTTCCAAATTTGCTATCATATTTCTAGCAAAACAATTAAGTTAGTTATTTTTAATATCTAATTTCGCAATACGTTTAATGTATTTCTGCTATTCATTATTTTATTCCTTTGCATTCCAAGCGGAACAAGCTAGAACTCTGAAGTTTCAGTAACAACGGTGTTTATTTTTACGGCGTGCAGTTGCTAGCCTCACACCCAGCCTTTCCTCTTTACCGGCCTCACTACCAGTTTAGAGAGATTTATATATTTCTATTTCTAAAATGACTTGTGTTCTTTCAAAGTTCACAAGAATTTTTCAGGGTAGTCAACTGAGCAGCTTCAGATTAAATCGTACATTGTGCTCACTAAGAGTTAAAAAATATCCCTGATGAGTCTCTGATTTTCCTATTTACTTCCAAAAGACAATGTTGAGATTAAGAGTTGAATTCAATGAAACTTCCCCACATTTTAAGCATCTGTTTTTATTATCGAGTGAACTTACATTCATACTATTCTTATATACAATATAAAAAGTTTTAAATATACGACGATGGTTTTCAAGTATTGGTTTTGTACGGAATTTTGTTTGATTGGTTGGAGGATTTCATTATGAGCTGGCGTCGGTTAGAGAACCATTGAGAAACAAGCTGGAAGTACTGGACAGCTGTTTCGTCACAGTTTGGTGAAGAATCCCAAAATAGGCTAACGAAACAGCTGTCCAGTACTCTCATCTTATTTCCCAATGGTTCTCCAAGTGATGTCAACTCATGGTGAAATCTTCCGGCCAATCATACATACTACGATGGTCTTTGTGTTTCAAGTATCAAACGGCGGTTAAGGTAGGCGGGTTCTGCTAAAGACAAAGTTCAAATACTTATAAAATATAAGCAACAAACTCTCCCAAATTGTGTTTAATCCCAAGATTGTTTATCTGATCAAACTGCCTTTTCCTAAACCGGTGTTTGTGACATATTTACCTTTCAAATACATATATATAGTTTAAATGTGCGGTTTATTTAATGCTTCTAAGTGGAAATAATAAATTATTGTTCATGATTCGCTTCATAAATCAGACAAACTTTCAATAACAGACACCCTAGAAAAAAAATTGTTTGTGACTTTAACCTCATTCTGTTATCTTTTTAATTATTTTTTTGAAACAGCTGAGTTTATTGGATGACTCGCCATTGTCATTGCTTCTATCGGACATAAGTGATTGGTTAATTTTACAAAACAAATTAACCGCCTTATCGGCAAGCAAACTATGATTGGTTAGTTAGATATTTATTTCTATAAGAAAACGTTTAATTAATTGGTTAAAAGACAGAACGATAAAAAAGCATTCTGTAAAAATTCAAGAGTCTACCATTAAAGACATTGGAAGTAACTTGAAAACTTTTACAGAATTCTTACAAAATCATATCACACACCTTATGTCAGTCACATTTTTACAAAGATGACAGGACCTTTATGAGATTAAAATTTTAAAATACTATGAACTATGATGAGTACTCATTGATGAAAAATTCGCATTATATTAGACTAATATTATTCATATCGATTGGATTTTGGGATATTGAAAGACAGGGCGTCAAACTGTTTATCTGACAGACAGTAAGTCTCTATTTCCGTAGAATAATGATGTTATATAAACTTTTATCAGTGTATCAGATAGGCGTACTTTTAAATTTCAGATGTGATTGCGCCAAGCACATCGTTTTTCTAAAAGTCCTCTTTGATTATAAATATTTTTTTGAAAGTTTTTAAAAGCGGAGTAGTAAGCGTTTTCATGACATATTGTCTGTCAGTAATATAATGTGATCACCTCAATTTTCGGCACCGATGATGAATGACAATTGTAGTTCTACCTAAGTAAATATTAACAGTGAATATTACAAATACTCACAGCTTATCTTTTTAGTCATTGTAGACATATCTTAATAATCAAGTGAAAATAATCTTGAGTACTTCAAAATGATAATAAATCCCTTCAAAAATAGTGATACTGTATATACATATCTGTCTGGATTCAACATAGAACTTGGCACCGAAGTGCAGCAGTTCGGGTTGCCACCTTCCAAATAGCACACAAAGGTAGACAAGAAGATGAGTGAAGAGAATCAATAGAGTTTTGACAAGTATAAGAGTGAAACAGAATGAGTAATGGTAGAAAGGAATATGAAGGATTACAGAGACTGAATACATCTGCGCTATTGACAACGATTATGAACCATGTCACCTATTGTCTCCAGCCATTGATTCTTAGAGTCCCGAGGGCCCCAACCCGGAAGTCTGCATCTCCCTACCTGACTCAGTTTAACTGTCAAGGATTTCATGGATTGATGCCATGTTTTTGTTTGGCCACCACTCTTTTCCAACCTGCACCAGTATCAGCTACTAATGCCCATCGGGGGAGGCGATGGCTAGGCATGCGCAGTACGTGACCTAGCCATCTCAATCTATGTAACTTTATAGCCTCTTCGATTGATTTTTCCTCTTTGCCCAACACTCTATATCTAACGTCAACATTACTTACCTTAATATACCACATAACGCGAGAAAGAGATCATATATACATATACTGAAGAATTGTGCGAATTCCACTTCATATATCATGCGACAGCTAACGTAACCTGCAATAATAAAATATATTAGTCAACAGTAACAGTGCCTTTATTCCAAAAAGTACTTTTGGTGCAGTAGTGCATCTAATTTTCCCATTACAGGGATAACATTTAAAACAGTGGGTATCATGATTTCACTAACAGCAACCAAAGCTCTTATGCACTGGATATCAGTCTCTTCCAGGATTGTGACAGCAAGAGAGAGATGCTGTTGGAACCCTTTGTACCACTCGGGACCCAAGGAAATAATAATATAATAAAAATACGTGTGCGCATCCTAGGGATTTTTACGAAAATTAAGATTTAAGTGGGAGTATTAAAAACAATATCATAATGAAAGAATGAGGAAAAATGGCCGTCTACTTAGTCTCCTGCCTCACAATTTCTTCATCACAAGAAATATGTACAGAATAGGGTATTATAGAGATTTTATACTTAGTCGTCCGAGCTTACAGTCTTCTATAGTTGCTTTTGGTTCTATCTGATGGGGGGGGGATGGAAAGAGTTGTGTACAGAGAGGATGTTCAAAGTCTGACAAGATAATATTTGCTAATTTCTACAGTAGTATTAATAAATTGGTTTAGTGACACCACACTCGCTCTACTGACAGCTTTTAGTATCCTTAACAGTGTAAAAATGTCTTTCTTAAGTAGATCAGGAGAGATAAAGGGGGGGCAGTAAAGACGAATAGGTAGAATACATGAATTAATAAACTGGTAATGCATAGACTGAATGATACCAAATTATCTTAACTTTCCTACGTAGAACGTCAGGCGAAACATCTTCCTAGAAACTAAAGTGATGTGGGAATACCAGGAAAGATCAATGAAAATGCACAATCCAAGGTGTTCAACATCCGATTTTAATTTCAATTTCTGTGTCATCTATGATAGTGGAACCATGCGACCGAACCAGTTCATGTAGGTTGCGCTTGCGTCTAAAAGTGAAATTAACAATCTGACATTTATGGGGATTTAGCTAAAAATTATTGGAAAAGAATCACTGATTAATTTCTAATAAAATATTGTTCATTTTGAGAAAAATCTGAGTAATATATCACCAGTATGGAAACAGCCAGAATAAGGCGAGTAATATGAGAAGAAATAAAACAGAAACTTAGAAAGAACAGAACCTTGAGAGACACCGAATAAAGTAGTGCAGTGGAAAACTCCCATTCATACACACTGTGCTTCTTTATATCAGAAAATTAGGAATGCGACCACTTGGTAATCCAGCACTGTGTTAATGACGCAACAAGCTTGTTTAACAAAAGAGGCCTAGATACAGAATCGAAGGCAGATGTGTAATCACGAAAAACATACCAAACATATTTGGCACCTGTCTACCCACAGATAACTGAGCAATATTCGTTAGTATATTCATTTTGGGCTAAAATAAATATCCTGATATCCATTTAGGGAGCTTCGCCGATGGAGTTCCTTAAGTAAAATTCTAAAAATACGTTGTTTTGAAGATATCTTTTATCATATGACACCCTTTGCATAAGTTCTTTACAAACTAAATTTTTGTTTGACTAGGGAAGAATTCTTGAGGACGCGATCCCTGAATTAAAACGTGTTTTACACGTTTTAATTATCTCTAAATTCAATGCTTTTTCAATATTCACCTGCATTTCAAGTAACCTATTGAAAATCTGAATGAAATGAACTTCTCACAGACATTTGGAGTAGACTGTCAAGTTAGTAAAAATAAAATCGATTGGAAATGTAGGCATATTTATTTAAGTAAATATGGGATTGATTTTATACATTTGGAGAGGTGACAAATTCTCTGGATTATTCCCTCTTCTGTATTACTTCTATACGAATATAAAGGTACATAAATGCGTGAAATGCAAATTTGCGGCTACATTTCGCCTATTTCAGGAAGGCTTACAGTAGCAGTGAAAGAAGTAAAGTGGATGCCTCTATAGAAGTTCATTTCTTTCCTTGCATTATTATAATTATCCTTTTGGGTTTCAAGTGGAACATGGGGTTTGACAAGCATATCTGCATTTCACCCTATTCTCTGTTATTATTTCAGATTGCTCCACGATCGTAAACAGGCTTTTATTTCCTCCTTACACGATCTCCTCCATGTCATCATTGAAGGGATGCCTAACTAGTCTGTGTCTTCTCATTAGGATTCCATTCAAGTGTATGCGTGGAGTGTGATATCACTCAACGATATCCTCAGCATGTTACCAATCCATCTTCATTTTCTTCAGCACATTTGATGGGAGATAGTTTGCTGTCTGATTAACTGACTGAAACAGTTCCTCGTTGTTTTTTCTTCATTTCTGGCCATTTAATCGTCAGTATGGCGCCACTGAAGGCAGTTGTTGACAAAAATCCACAGTAAACTGCTGGAATTGCGTTTTGTGACACTAAAAGTCTCTGAACCATAAAAAAGAACTGACTAAATTGACAGTATTGTTAAAAATCCGGATCTTGTTCCTCATGCTGAGTGCAGCGGATTCCGAAACCGGCTTCAGAGTAATGAATGTCTGGTTTGCTTTTTGGTTCCCGACTCTAACAACTTCATCCGTGCCGCCTGTATTTAAAACGATGCTACCTGTCTAAGTAGAGGAAGTAATCGTCTTCAAATGCCTCTTAATGATAGAGATTGATGTTGTTTTTTGTTGATCAAGTATCTACTATCTAGTTTCATCTCTGCCTTTTTATGTTCACTTAATGTTCCGTCTTCGCTGCCTCTTCTCAACATCTATTCCTATTTCCCGTGGAATATAAACCAAGTCGAAAATTAAATACCTAGGCGTTATTCTATCTGCTGATCTCTCCTGGTCGTCTCATATCTTGGCGATTTCTAAGAAAATATTCCGTCTTACCTTCTACATCAAGAAGTTAAGGCATTCTGGTATAACCCAACCCTTACTCCTACAATTCGATAACTCTCACATTCTGCCTATTACTCTCTATTGTTCCCCCTTAGTTTTTCCCGGGATACTGAAGAAAGACTATAACATATTACGCAGGATGTTAAAGGTTGTCAGCAGGGTAAGCAATGTGCCACTTAACCAGCTTGTTAATATTCTGGTTGACAGGCACATGGACTCATGTGAAAAATGGGCCAAATCCATTTTATCTAACTCACACCACCCTCTTCAATCACAACTTTCCCCTTGCATCTCATCGAGTAAAACCAGAAGCCTATATAGAAAACTACATGCTCGCACTAGCAAGTACAAAAACTCAACCATACCCTACTTAGCTCGTGTTCTATGTGATAAAGAAAGCATTAGACGTGATACCTATAACTCATTAAATAGTCAGAAGAACAACTGGATCTCGTCTTTCCAACTCACATCATCAATAGGTACAACATTTTCTTTCTTTCTTTTCCTTTTCTCTCTCTCTTTTTCTCTTTTTTCCGTTATGTGCTGCTTTGTTTCTTTCACTCGCTTACGCCAGTAAATATGACAGCTCCTACTTTTCTGACACCTTCAAACCCTGTTCAACTTTGGCTTTGCTACCAACATGCCAATATGTTGTTGTCATAATGAACTGAGATTTCCTTAATCTATGTAGAATTCTATTTATTGATAATGTACTAACTGGACGCAATACTGTAGTAAAAATGCTGAGAATTCCATTATTCTGTATCACAAGTGCTGTTTTGCAATAAAGCAAATTATTATTAAGTTTGTGTGAAATTTCTGTTTCTAAATATTTCCCAACGATTTCAGCCTTAAATCTGTTAAAGGAAAAATTCTATTCACATTTGTCAAAGTTTTTTTAACTACGCATCAGAAAGTGAACAAATCAAAACTTACTTGCTTTTAATTAAGATTCTAACAGTTAAACTCAAATCATGAAAATATTTCTCTTATGCTAACTAAAGGCCTCAAATCTGAGTGAGTATTTATCGCTTTAAAGTAACATGCCTTTGTCTTCTTTCTTTCAAACCCAATTGGTTACTTTCAGCGGCATTTATAGTCTGAAAGCGAAAATAAATATCTTGACACAAATA